TTTTCAGTCCTCAAGTTCAGGAGGTCTACCAGGTACCTTTTTTTGTAGCATCAATTGTTATCCCAAATGTTTTTTTTTTTTACGAACAATTTAATATTAGTTCAGTAGTTTGACAATGAAATTTTAATACTTCTATTTGAGATATGATCGCACAAATTGCGAAGTGAAAAATTAGATCGGTGTATTGTCCTTTGGAGTTATTGGAAGAATATTGGAGAAAACTTGGAGGGTCGATGCATTTATTCGTTATATAGCTCGAGTATTTTGTTTGTTGCGTTGATCAAAAAGTGTATTGCACGCTTTGAGGGTAATGCAGGAAACACCAAGGTGTTTAATTAGTTAAATAACACCAATCTCAATATATGGCATTGCGAAGAATCAGTATTAAATGACAGAGTTCTTAATCAAAGGCATTATTTTGGACTCATCACTAATAAGAACTCTAGACTAGAAACAATACCAAACTAGTGGTGGGCTGGGCTCGGCCGCATTACCCACGAACTTGTGGCTCGTCAAAGATCAGTCGAGCTTATGTGACTCGTCTGTCAAGGGCTAAGCCTTAGGGCCCAAGCTCAGCTTGGCCCTTGAACTCGAGGCTCATGGGCCGAGTCAAGGTCGGCCAACAAGCTCAACCTTTTTTTTGTGTGTGTGTTTTTAACTTAAGCTTCTATAACAATTATCTGGAGTTAAAGTTGTAAACAAATAACTTATTACGCGTACAATTTTATTTTATTTTTTTTAAATCAAGCATCCAAAAAACAAATAATCCATTTCGACATTTCCTCAAGTTCTTCCAAGTATCGTAAATAAAGATTTTGACAAACACATGAACCAAATATACTTCATTTGTTTGTCAGCACACTTCATTGACGTTACATGAAATTTAAGGAAATACATTCTTCGTTTTCGTGGGCTTTTTTATTTTTTTATTGATGCAACAATCTTTGTTTTTGTTAAATTAAAATATAGAACGTATAGAATTTATACGAGGTTTCATTTGAATAATTGAATTGTATAAAATTGTCGAAGTAAAATGTATAAATAATAAATTGAATTCAGATTTGAAATTAAATATTAAAATTTTAAAAAAATTATTTTGAAACCCTCCTCCTTTTATCCAGGTTTGAGACGACCATTTATTTTTTAGTGGGCAGAGTTAAAATTGTACACGAACAACTAATTACGTGTAGAAATATTTTGAAATGAAACCTACAAAAACAAAGATCCACTTCCTCAAGTTCTGGATATAGTCATTGAAAAAGACTCACAAAACAAAAAATCATGACTCAATCAAGAAGTTTGGCAGTTGAGATTTGAAAATTTCGAAATTAAATTTGAAAATTTTTTATTGAACTTTTTTGTTAAAACCCTCCTCCTGTTATTAGGGTTTGAGACCAACTATTTAATTTTCTCAGTATGCAAAATTAAAATTGTACACGAATAACTTGTTACGTGAATAATATTTTAAAATCAAAATATTATTAAGAAAATAACAAATTTTGATTATATGACAAAATTGTTTGGGAAACTGAGATTGTGGCTTCATAGGTGATTAGCCACCAAACAAGCCCTCAAGGAAATCACGAAGATTCATGTGTATTATTTAACAGAATATAGATTGTAGCGTAGAGAATAAAGATGAAATGTATAATTTGGATAATGTGTATTGTAGAGAATGAATTGAGAAAATGCATATAACAAAATTGAAAGTTGAATGTTGAACAATTATAGAAAATATGTGTATTATGTAATAATGAATTTATGTGTATGTAATATAATTGTAGAGAGTAAAAGAATTGTTAAGGAATTATATTGTAGAGAGAGTTGAAGAGAGATTGTTGAATTTGTTGTTTAAAAAAAAAATAATAATTTAGGTGTGAAATATTCATTAAGGAAAAAGAAAAATAAAAAAAATTCAGAGATGTTAGGGGGGCCCCAAAGGCCTCCTTGAAAGTTTGGGACCGTTTAGAAAAGGGGTCACAAACAAAGAAAAGTACCCGTTTGGTCACTGTTTGGCTTGACAAGCCTAACTCGTGAGCATTAACGAGCTTGCTGCCTATCGAGCCAGCATTCTTGACTCGTGCTCGGGTCCGTCCTAAAACAAGCCCTAACCATCCATGGCCATGCTTTTTCGAGCTGAGTCAACGAGCTACTCGACACGATTGCCACCTCTACACCGAACTAACAAGCTATGGTAAGCGCTAAACATATGATTTACACTAAGAATTATATCTAATAATATTTTTAATCTGATTATAAAGGAATCCATCAAGCCCCCTAAATATTCAAATTAATGCTGGTTATCCATCAAGCCTTTCTCTGACCCAGAATCCCAAAAACTAACTCGAAGCGACCCAGACCCCGAATTAACATTTCCGTGGATAGAGTTTCATCCCACAGTGTCGGAGAATGTTGCATATGTTTTCCAGGGGGTCTATGTGCTCCTTCGGGCTTTTACCAATATATCTACATACTGCTCCATAGTTTTCACACTTCGGCTTGTGAATATTCGATTAACTAACAGCAAGTGGTCCTTCATTGTTCAGTCCAAATGGCATTATTTTTGTAGAAATATAGATATTGATTTGTCATGAAAGATGTCTTCGTTGCGTCAACCAACAAATCAAAAATTTTATATCACAAATTATTTTACGATCACAATTCAAAAATTTTGCCAGTCACAAGTTGTTCATCAGTCATCAATAAAAAAAAAATTAATTAGTCACGGATTAATTTTTAGTCACATAAAAAAAATTATAGGTCAATATTATTTTTCGGTCACGAATCAAAAATTTTATAGGTCACGGATTATTCATTAGTCACAAAATCAAAAATTTTATTGATCACGACTCATTTATTCATTGCAAATTTTTAGATTAATTGATCACGATTAATTTTTCAATCACAACTTGATAAATTATGATTCACAAACACAATTTTTAGGTTTCGTATTATTTATTTATCACAAATTCACCAATTATTGGTCACATTCAACTCATTGGTTGGTCACAAACACCCCCATAACACTTGTGACCACTACTTAGCCACTTCTTACAGTAGACCACGGCCACGCCACAGTCGCCACCATAACTACCACCATCACCAACTCAAATCAACACATCATCATGCCATATCCACCACAACCTCGATAAACCCATTGCCACCATCTCAACACCCACAATATCCACCACCATCACCACCAACAAAAACCACAACCACCACCATATCCAGCGTAACCTCCATCATCGTTGGATCCAACAAAGCCATCGCACCATTGCAACGACCACCTCCACCACAACACTGAAAACGCAGCAAAATTTTTTTTAAAAAAAATATGAACGGCACACCACCATCACCATGGCCGCACCACTTACCACCACCATCGCACCATACATCACCAACACAACCATAGCCACGACTGCAAAACCATCGTTACAACACCAAATACCATCAACCAACATAACACAATCACCAACGCCATCATCAACACCACCACAAAATCCCTAAACCCGACACCACCTGCACCCTCTCACCACACCACAATCACCATCCCAAAATCACTCCACAACCACCACAAATTGAGATCCAACTTAGATCGACTTCTACCACTACAAAAACGGCGCTTATGCCACAAGCAACGTTGCAACTTTACCACCACTACCAACAAAATCACTAACGGCGACAACATCATCACCATGGCCGTGGCCGCAGCGATAGTTCTCCGGAGAGAGAGAGAAAGAGAGAGATGAATTCGATTTGGGGTTGGGGTGAGTATATCAATTTAATTTTATTAGGGTTTGGGATTTTGGCTAATAAAAATATTGATTAAGATAAAATTTCAAATTTTTGAATTGTTAAACTTGTCAACTGATTTTAGAATGTTGGATTTTTCAAGTATGGTATTGTGTAATTTCCTCTTTATTCAAATCCGTGAAGTCAACGCATACTCACTACTCCCCTTTGGGGTTTCAGACAAAGACTGAACCGCAAGTGTGTTAATGTTTGATATATAAAATTTTGACTTCAATTACTACCATTGTTTTGATTGAGTATAATCTAAACTGACCAAAAACATAGATAACATAGAATACCAAAAGATTAAAGACATGCATCTAAGCAATCTACAAATAAGTCTCGTTCTTAATCCACACGGATGAAGTCCCAAACTCAGAATGAAGCTCACCTTCTCATCTAAAGTCGATATGGTTTTGTGGAACAAACGATTGGCTATTTGGGGATTATATAGCTTAGTACATGTTGCACAAAAGAATCACATGGCACATCAGAATCTGCAAGGTCGATTTAATAAGGAAGAATGGTAGACTATATTTGCAATTGACTATAACAATTCTGTGGGAATCGAACCTACAATCATATGAATATACGACTCAGACTTCGGGGACTATTGTTATGCCTATAAAAGTTATTGCATATTGGGTCTTCTTATTGGACTTGGACGAGGCCCATTAACACACACGATCCCATCTTCATTTTCTATAGATGGGGCTTCATTATACAATTAACGTATGAATTTTAACCTTAGTCAAAACCCTCTGTCTCGTCTCTTGCACTCTCGTCTGATTGTTGACTTGACCATCGGAGCGCAACCGGTCGCCGAACCCTTTTTTTTCGACTGACGACCTTTGCTTTCTAACGGGTGCTTAGCTTGCAGGTGTTGTCTACATGAAGGGAACGAGATCAAGATTCTATTGGTTCATTTTTTTAGGTCAACACTATCCAACAAAGCAATTAAGGTCTCAAATATCTAAAAGTGAAACACTCTCAGCTTAGCAACATATTACATTTCAACCATATTCTAATAGTGACCTTTAACCATGGTTTAGAGAATTTCCTCTCCTGTTGAATACAAGTATTTAAGTTGAACAAAAATTAAACCTTTGTAGATCCCACATAATGTGTTAATATCATTGTGTAGCAATTATGAATATGTGATCGAAATTAAATTAATGTAAATCCAAATGGAGGCAAAATTCTTTAAATGAAATCTTTGAATCCATTTATCTTGATGAGGTAACAGATATCCTAACGTGATTATTCAACACAGCATGGAACATCCTGTTTATATTGCTACTATGCATAATTTTCGTATGTATCGAACTTTGGTGAGAAAATATCGTAGATAAGGTCTTGCAATTGCATGCATGCAAAAAAAATGAGGTCATTTTCTTGAAAATAGAAAATCTGGCCTGAGCCCTTAATCAGTTTCAAAAGAGAGATTTAATTGAGCTCTACGTACAATGGTTCTCGAGAGGAGAATTTCTTAAGCTGAGGAAGAAAACGTGAACCACCAATGAATTTCCTCCACGTTGTCATCCACTTTCACATCTGAATCCATCCAGCTAATTGCGTAGGATTAAGAATCCCTGGAATATGGGCCCCATCACCCTTCAACAAGCTTGCCACCTCAGCATAGCTCTGCGGCTTCGGCTCTGCTTCAACATTCTGCTGACTCTGACTCTGACTCACACCGTGCCCGTTCCACTTCGAGTCGGCTGAGCTCACAGGAACGGCCTCGGTTCGAGCCGGGTCAAACCTCTCCCCAAGAAGAGTTCCCTTGGTTAAAAATTCGTAAGCCATGTAACCGGCTAAAAGCCGGTTCGAACAAATCGGCTGCTGCTCGAACGACGTCGTTGGATTCCCACTACTAACGACAGGATTAACTGCCGTTACTGGAACTAACGGTTTTGATGACGTGGCATTATAATATGCCTCTCTTTCTTTCCGCTTCCTTGAGGGTACAGGCATCAACGGTGTACGTGAGTTATAACTCATCCTAGCCGTCTGTTTATTCCAGAGAGAACCAAAAAAAAGAATTAAATGCTTGCCACGTCAGCACGATTCTTAGGCAAAAATGCTCCAAAATAATTTGTTCACAAAAAGGACAAGAAATTATTAAAATAAAAAGGGGCCCCAAACAGTGGGGGAAAAAATGGAAATCTAAGATCAAAAGCACGGAAATGGGGTTTAATTTGTAAAATAATAAAATAATATAAAATTTATTGAAAATTTTTAGAAAGAGAGAGAGAAACTGATTAATATGGGAGTTATTGAAAAACTCAGATTCAGAGCGGCCTGGGACTACCAGATATCGTGGATCTCCGAGGATGGTGGTGATGAGAGCTGTGACGCCGCCGTGGGCGGTAGAGAGAGAACGGAATGGGAAAAGATTTGAGGTTTTATAATGAAGGCAGGAGAGATGTAAGGCGTGAATTATCAGTTTTATATCGAGGAGCCGTGTTGAATCACCCTTGACGTTTGATATAATTACTCAAATGCCATCTCACAACATTTTCTTAACCTGCTCAGATATCAGTGTTGGAATGACAGGATTACCCTGTCCGTACTACACTGTTTTGCCCATTTTGTGCATGTAATACGGAGACTTCTGAGAACTGCCAGAATGAAGGCATTTGGTTTCATACAATTTTGTTACCGACACCGTGTCTTTAGCATTTCCTTCGGGGAACGATTCGGAATACTCACCAACAAATTTCAATTTAAGCTTAGTCCTTGTTTTTTATGCTAATTATCAAATTTTTTATATTTCGATTAGGGCTGTATATGATTCGATTCGGTTTGATTCTCTTCAATATCATATTTTTGTATATTTTGATTAAGGCTGGACATGAGAATCGAATCGGTCCCCAAATTTTAGGGTATTTAGTAAGTGAAACCGTCGAATCCAAATTTAATTATAGAACTGTTCGAGTTTGGTTCCAACCGGTTCGATTCCATTCGGTTCTCGAATTTTGTATTATAATTAAATTTTTTATATTACAAAAGTACATCAATTCAACTGATAATATGTTCAATCTTAACTTTTACAAAATAGTGTAGTCCAATCTTATGAATCTTTTGCGTCTTTCTTTACTGAGTTCTTCATAAATTTGATTGTTAAAATCACGAAAAAATGAAGATAACGAGCTCACAACAATTAAGAGATGCGTAGTCGAAGTTCAATTCGATTTCTCTTTAATAGTCGAAATGGCATTATAGTAGAATAATATATTTGAGTAAAATTTAAATCAATTTGATTAAGTTGGACTTGGACTGAAAATTATAAATAGGAAGAATATCAATTTTTCCCTTTTCTTTTATTTTAATGTAAAGTTATCATTTTGCCCTTAAAAATTGTTAAAATGTGGTCAAAATCATTTTTTTGGCCAATCGATGGAATTTTGGATGAAAACCGTCCAAAAGGGCCTCACATGCAACGGTTGAAAATATTAGGGTAATGACTGCAACAAATCAAAGATTTAACAAAAATCTGCTAGTATTTCAAAAATTGGGACTTCTACTACAATTATCCCTAATTTAAATGCACAAATATCAAGTTTCATCCATATACAAAATATTATATAATAAAAAATGATTCACTAATATAGACGAATGATCACAACATTGAATTTTTTGTGTAATTCACTTATTTGTAACAAAAAAAAAATTTAAAAAAAAATTAATAAAAAATGAGTTTGTTCTTGATTCTTGTTCAGGTTCTAGAATTGGAATCAGAACCAAATGATTTTTGGTCCTAAGAATCAAAATCATTCTTCTTTTTTTTAATAGAATCAAATCAAACCATCCTTTGGTTTGTTCTGGTTCGATTTGATCATTTTGTCCACTCCTAATACCATTAAAAAATTACAAAATAAAGTTTTATAATTCTAATCATTATACTACAGTAACATGATAGAAACATTTTTACATCTTAATTAGTATAAACTGGCGTAATATCTGCAATTATAACACATAATTCATTCTCTCCACAAAGATAAGAATATAGTACATAAATTCATTCATCATAATTAAATGATATAAAACAACTAATAAAAGAAAATGAATAGAAATATCAAATATAATATACATTCTATATCTTTTCTGAATCATTTAATGCTTCTACATTATCTAAATATTGATGAATAGTTATATTTAGTATTAAGTATTAATTGAGATATCTTTAGTTTTAATTGGGTCAGATGAAATTTCATTAATTTTTTTATAAACAATTTTGTAATTTGAAACGATTTGTAAAGATTAAAACTTAAACCAAAGACTTCGAAGTGATTTTGTTTGCTCAAAACTAGAACGTTGACGGATCCAAGTGGACCCATATTAATGATTTCAAAAAGAAGCAAATTCGATTTGATTTGTTGGTTTGACAATTTTGTTATTCAACCCTAAGTTGACCTATAAGGGGTCAATAATGTGTTACATAGATGTTGAATTTTATCAAAATATCAAAATCATTAAGTTAAAAATACAAATGTAATAGAAAAAAAGTACAATGATCCATGTTACAATTACACATTGTTTCTAGTTTGAATTTCATTGTGCTTTTTAAATATTACTTACTTCCACAACGTATGAGTCTAGTGGATTTGTTAAAGTCATTCTAATAAACAACTTTAATTTATATGTATTGAAAAGAGTTTTTTATACACTTATTCGGAATTTTAATTAATGACATTTGTAGTTCTTTTGATGAAATATCATCGAATTTTTTATGTATTTTGTTTACACTACACCAAAAATCATCTTTTGCAATGGTCAGAAAAAGTTGCCATAGACCTATTGCAACGTTCAGGCGTCTGTTGTGGGTTTCAACGTTGTCGTAGAGCGAAGAGGTTTCGGCAACGTTCATTGAACATTGCAAATGATGGTTTTGGCAACGTTCAATGAATATTGCAAATGATGGTGTTGGCAACGTTCATTGAACATTGCGAATGATGCTTTTCGCAATATTCATTGAACGTTACAAATGAGGCTTTTTGTAACGTACAATGAACGTTGCAAATGAATTTTTGATAGCAAATGTTATTTGTATTTTTTTTGGATTAATTATTTCACATTTTTTCTTTCATCAACAATCTACCACAAGTACTTAAGATAACAAAAAATTAAAAGTACTTCATTTAAGTCAATAAGCATGATCTCATATACTATTACTTCATCAAAACATAATAAATACTCCAATTCAAAGATATACACCATCTAACCAAAGAAAAATAATTTACAACAAAAAGAACTATCAAAATGTCCAAAAGTTGTGTAAATGATTTTATAACCAAAGCTTCAAACGAGTCCCAACCCAATCCTTTTACATAGACGAGATCCAGGAAGACACAAACACAAGAGTACTTTGTTTTAGAACTCAGTTCGGCTCCATGTAACTGTAAGAAAGAAAGAATATAGCAGCAAATTAATCGAGAAACGTGTACATCAGTAGATTAATGTCATTTAAAGGAGAAATTGAATCATACACTCAAGAATACAAACTCATAATTAAAACTTGATTGATCTCTGAATAAAATGCAATGATATTGCATTTTTTAACAATATTAAAGTAAATTCAATTTTAATCGAGCTACAACTATTAAAAATCTTTTCTAGTCACTACACTATGATTGAGAATTTATTGATCATTTTTTTCCTAAGAAAGAAATGAAATAAAATCGTACTTCATTCGAAAATTTGAATTGAAACAAAAAGGGCAAACAATTAAGAAACAATACAATGTCGTTTAAACCCTTTTGAGACACAACTATATTCAATCAACGTTTTACATAGCCTATCTATACTATACTCATTCAACGCATATAGCAACAAATTAATGTCATTTAAAGGAGAAATTGAATCATACGCTCAAGAATACCCAATCAGTGTATGTAGGATCCATACATTTAATAATCAAATGTTCATACACTATTTCATAATTGTGATGCTTTAGATTTATATACTTGATACAAGGGCATCCTATCATTTTTGAATTTAGATTTTCACGAGCTAGTTCCCCAAACTTCCGTGCTCCATCTCTGTATTGTTCTGAAAATCTACAACAAAAATTATATGATCATTTTATATTATTGTTTAAATTTTGAAACTAGATTTATAAGATATTATTTCAGAGAGTAACCTTGATAATTGCAGCCATTCTTTGTCCATTATGATACTATCAAACATTAAACAACAACAATTCAAATTGTTAAGTAAACTTGGTAATTTGCAACACAAGCAAATGTGTGAGAGCATAAAATTTATATTGAAAGGAAAGTGAATTAGAGTAAGTCTCCTAAACGTCATACCTGATACTCTACTTCCACGAGAACACAGTCTAATGAATAAGATTGTTGGAAGCGAGCTGTAATTCTACTCTATAAAGCAAGAAGTCAAGCACATCAAGGAAAAGCAACAAATATCATTTATGGTTCAATAAACACGTGCCTCAAAAAACATGAAAAACTCATAAAGTATTAAAATCAAAAACTCCATTCATATTCAAAAGTTTTTTACACACTACCTAAACGATCAATCTATTTCTTCTTTAAAAGGACAAATCACATACCAGGTCTTTGAAAGAATATCACGAGAAAGCAACAAAGTTGTGAAACATATGAGCTATTAATGGAACAATAAGACATCCTGCAATTAAAAAATGTTAAGATACATTAATACTAATCAAAATGAAAAGTGAAAAATTCCTACAAAGGTAGATTTTCCTCTCTCACTACAGGGTTGGTTACTTGAGAGAGTAAATGCACAAGACTAAAGATTTTGTTACAAGACGCTGAATAAAATTAGTAAATACCCTCCAAATGCTAGGGAAAATGCTAATGAGAAGGAAAAAGAAGATAAAATGCTGAACTTCTAATTTTCCAGATGAATTACATATTTCTTATTGTATTTTTAAGTCGAAAAACATTATAAATGATAGCTAATGCCTTTTTTTTATTAAGTTTTGATTACTTGTATGAATCCTGTTTTGTCTAAGTTTGTGATGTTTAATGAACATCATCACTGTCCATGCAAATTCCTTTTTACCCATTAGTAGAAGATTGTATCTTGCTTTCTTTGTCTCTAGACATTACACAAACCATATCAGTTCCTTAGGAATAAATATGCCGCATACAATTTAACAATTGTCTTGAGAGAATATTGATGAGTGAGACCTTTAGGGGATTAGGGAAAGCAGAAACAATAATGTTAGTAATCTAGTAAGTGATTTTGATTATAACAGAATGGCCGTGCTTGCTGCCTCGCAGATTGTAGACGAGAGAGAGGGTGAAGAAACCACAGTGGTGTGAGTGACAGAGAGGAGGAAGAAATTAGGGCCGGGTCGGGTATGGTCGGGTCGGATCCCTTTAGTTTGGGTTTTGTATGTTTTATTAATATTTAACGTTGAATACTACTAAAAAAATTAACGACAACGTTCAAAGAACGTTGCCAAAGATAGTTAACCACAACATTCACATGAACGTTGCTAAAACATATAATGGTAACGTTCGTATGAAAGTTGCTAAAACCAATTAACGACAATGTTCAATGAACGTTGCTAAAACATATACAGCAACGAGCATTGCTCGTTACAAAAACTTGTTAACGACGACGTTCTTTGAACATTGCTAAAACTGATTGACAACAAAGTTCATTCGAACATTGCTAAAACCTATAATGGCAACGTGGACCATCCACGTTCCACGTTGCCAAAACTAATTAACAGCAACGTTAAACATCTATAGCAACGATCAATGCACGTTGCCAAAAAAAAAAAATAGCAACTGTATTTGAACGTTTCAAAACGGTGTATTAGCAACATTTACTCAAAGAACGTTGTTAAATCTTAATTTACTCAAACAATGGCAACATACATTAGCTGAATATTGCAATAGACCCCCTTTTAACAACATGCAATTAGTGAATGTTGTTGTTTACATGTTGCAAAAAGCCTTTTTTTGTTTGTAGTGTTAATATGTAAAATTCATGATTTGATGAAGAATTGAAGAAAAATGGGGAAAATGAGCTCAATTGTAAGATATCAAAAGCTCGAGGACTGAAGTACAAACACTAAAAAATTTTGATGAACCTCCCGATCAAGATTCTAGAGTGCTAGGTGTCACTTGATAAGAAAAGAAGTCAAAATTATGAAATATATGCAAAGTATTATCGAATATCAATTTTTAGCTGAAAAAGTTATGCTCCGAATATTCAGTCCTAGATTGCAACCTATTTTTGTCATAACAAATGTTCGAATTGGAGAAGTGGTAGAAAATTTTTAGCCCTTTGAGTTAACTTTCCAACGCATTTTCAATCACTTTAATTTGATATCCATGGAAAAAAGTATGACAAAAATATTTAAAGCTGATTGGGACAAGCCTAAGCGGACAAAAATATTTGAAGCTGATTGGGACAAGCCTAAGCGCTCGCCTAGGCCTGTAGAGGAGACGCATGCCTCTTCCTTTTCTGAGACGCTTGAGGTTGCTTAAAGGGTTCAGGCTCGCGCCCTAGTTTGTACTAGGCGCATGCCTCATATCAAAACTGATAATAATAATAATAATAATAATAATAATAATAATAATAATAATAATAATAATAATAATAATAATAATAATAATAATAATACAATCTTTTTAACATTCTATAAATTGAAGAGCATGTCCAGAACATGAGGAGCCAATTTTTTGAAAAAGAGATGTTTACATTCAAGGGTCAGAATGGTATCGTTTGGGGTTGAGTTTCAATAGAAGAATTGAAGTTTTCACGTTCTTCTCAAGTTTCTTAGTCTCCGGTAATGCTTTTCTTATTCTTTTGTGTAATTTTCATATGGTAATGTTAGGCTGGATATTTTTATGTATTGGATGGATAATAAAACCTGTTGATTTTTAATTTTTAATTCAAAATTATCTTTTTAGTTAATTCTCGTGTTTATGATTTTATATACATTAATTATGTTTGTGCACCATTGAAACATTATTTGTAGTGTTGAAAAACTTAAAATAGCTAGAACACTGCATATGTAACGCGAGCAATAAATATGAGAAATAATATTTGTAGCATGTGCGATAGGATGTAGTGATCCTACAATTAAATATATGTTTTTCATATGAATTCGAATTAGGAATATGATTGAATTGTGTTAAACATAGGTTTGATATATCTTAGAAAAAAATTGAATATTATCGGATTATTAATCATCACAATCACGTTAATCATACTAATTAACATAAGTCGAGAATTAAAATTAGACATCAATAGGTGGAGTCAGCAATCTAATACATTCTTCTCGTATTTGATCAAAGTAAATTTTTATTGCTTTCGTAGTTAAATTTAGCATAAAAAGCAACAATCAATCTCTTTTATATCTCATTAGATCAAATTTGGTAAACACTAGTTAACTAGAATTAAATGTTAATCCTTGTGGGACTATACTTTAACTCACTACATTATTACATATCAACGATTCTGTAACCTCTTGGGATTTTCTAGAACATGTATGTATCCATATATATGTAATTGATAGTGTCCAAATTTTCATTTGGCATGGTAATAGAAATATTGCTCATTTCCCACTACATTGGTCAAGTGAAATTGTTAAAAATAAAATAAAATATGATTTAATTGACACCAAATATGTGTAGTTCTCGACATGTCTGAATTTCTCCTATATCGACATTGCCAAGATGCTGTACACCATCGAGGCTGCATACGAAAAGGCTAAAGGCAATGAAAATTAGTGCAACCTGATTATGAATATTAGAACTTTGAAGTTGTAGTTCTTGTTCTCAACTTGGGATGGTAAATATGCAACTGTTGTCCTACTCTACCCACATTGTCTCTCCCTATCTGGAAATTGAGATAGCGATGGGAATGGGTAAGAAGGTCCTTGCCTAAAATTGTTCCAACTGTTATTTTTCATTTTATTTTATTTTATTTTATTTTATTTTATAATGTTAATATTTTAAATTTAAATAGTTTTTAAAGTAAGTAAATAAGAAAATAAGATAGAAAAATAATATTTTAGTTAACGCCTTTTCCATTACCATCCTATAACAACAATAAAAACTTCATCAAGTCATGCTAGATAAATTTACACAAGATATTAAAACTCATTATAGTGCTGATTTTTGACTATTTTGTCATCACCTTTTCCTAATCTAATACGACCTTATCCAAAGAAAATAGGGGTGTCAATGAAATGACAACCACCACAATAAAGTTTGGCCCACCTGATAGCGACGAAATGCTACTGAAAATTATGAATTGGACGACACCTCTAAATAGAAGTACATTATCATCCTTTCATGATAATTGTAGGATCAATCCTCAACATTATTGCATCAACGCAGGTCCAAAACTTTACCGAGGGAGGCTTCTTTGTTTTTTTTTTTTTTTTTTAGCGAAACTAATATATACATATAAACGAAATTCGTTTACCAAAAATATTTTTAATATAAAAATATTTATTGGGCTTGTATTGCTTTGTACAGAAGTCCAAGGTTACTACCTGTCGAGGGTAACCCCCCCTAGATCGGCCACTAGAGTTGCATGAAGATTTAACGAAAATTTTGATGATTAAACTGATTGTGCTAGTATAATCAAAGGTTGAAAACTACTTTGCACATTTGTGAAGGTTGTAAACTAATTTGGTAATTGAACAATAAGTTAAGGACTATAGCAATTTCTCTTATAACTTGCTAGGCGCTAGGACATCATTTTCTATCAGTGTTTTTCTGTGCAGATCTTTTAATTATTTCTTAATCTAAATTATTGTATACAATTAAACTGTGATAAGACAAATAAAAGGTGGTGTGAACCTATAATTATATATAAAGCTTCCAACAAATTGACAAGAAGGAAATAAATATCATAAATATAATTGAACTTGAAATTAAGAGGTCCTTGAAATTCAAATCATTCGTGTACTTCAAGTTAAAAATCAAGATACTACTCATTTTAGAAGGCTTATGTTGTAAATTGGTTGTTCAAAATATCAAATGAGTGGATGACTTAAAGAAGAAAACAAACAGGCTACAAAATGGCATATGCGACCGCATAAGCATCTAAGGGTTGTGGTCGCATGTGGAATTTCAGAAATATTGGAGGCAACCAAAGCTATAACTATGCGACCGCATATTTATAGCCTATATGGTCGCATAGTATGAAAAAAATATGACTGTTGGCTGGAATGTTTTTGAATTTCCAGTGTTTTTCTTGGTGAATCTATGCACCAGTTCATTTAAGTTAGAACAAATTCATGTAGGGATGATAGAAATATATAAATACTTATTGTGTTCATCCCAAAAACACATGAAAAACTAACTCTACTATTCATCCAACTTTGTATGAAATTTTGTCCCTCTACATAATCAAATTCTTCTTTTTCACTTGTTTATTTGAAGAATACTTTGCTTTTGGTGTTCTTCTTGAGGCCTGATTAACCTTACAAACTATTTGCCAATTTAATCCTTAAAAGCATTGTCAGGGAGGCAAATATCATTTTAGGATAGTGAAACTATTTTCGTGTTCAAGTCTTCTTCAATTTGTATTCATCTTCTTTTTCATCTTTTGTTCTCCATTGCTGCACTTTTTTATAACATTCTCAAACGATATTCTTATCTATTGCGATGCAAAATAGAATCTGCACTTACTATAATCAAGTTGATGAATCAAGATTTGGTATGCTTAGACAAATTTGATGGACCCAACTTCACAAGATGGCAGGACAAACTTAAATTCTTCTACGTACTTATTCCAAACTTGGAGCCAAGTTTTGATGCAATTGAAAATGATACTGAAGAAGTTCGCGCCCAAATAAAGAAAAGGAAAGAAGACGAATTAATATGTTGGGGTCACATTTTAAATGCCCTTTTCGGATCGGCTGTATGATCTATACACAACTACTACTTCCGCAAAGGAATTTTGGAACGCGCTTGAAAATAATATAAGGTCGAGGAGGAAGGTACAAAGAAGTTTTTAATTTCTAAATTTTTTTGATTTCAAGTTACCGTAAGTACATGAATTGCAAATTATTGTTAACAAATTGAAAACGGTGAAAATCTAACTTCCCAAATCCTTCCAAGTCAAAGCAATTATTGCAAAA